AGGATAATCCTCTACTAAAAAAGGAATTTTATATATTATAATAAGTTAGCATATATGCGACAACCGTTTCATTTACCAGTATTTGTTGTGACCCTTCAAATATCGGTTTCTTCTATATCAACTGCAAACTTTTGGAACATTAGAAATCATAAAATTTTTGTGTACTAAACTGGACAAAGTATGTGAATTGTTTTTTTTTTCTTTATATAGACCTGAAGAACTGTCATTCACTTTCTGTTTACAGCTATTACTTCTGTAGACTCTTTACAGATTTTGGCTAGTGAAGCTGATGTTTCTTGTCAAATTTTCACTCATCTGTACACTTGTGTTTGTACCTGTAAGTCTGTTTTTTTACCGACTTGCTGCATAATTGAAAAAAAAACTAACGTTGATTTCATCGTAACCTTGCTAATAATTAAAGAATTCACAGAAATACTGAGTAAACTTTGATTCTTTCATGGATCGATGTGTTACCCGAGAAATAATAAAATTTTGGGTCTTCCAACTTTGAAGTGTAACGATGACAGCCTAACGTTGACTATTGAAACGCGCGAGCCGTTTAGGTAGATTTTTTAAGATAAAAAATAATTGATTTACAACAACAAACACTTCAAGCACCCAGCAATTCCTATTTTGAAATTGCATCATTAGTTTTATTACTTGTAAGACGCATGTGGACGACAACACAGTTGCAGAGGTAATATGTATGTGAGAGGGCAGTTTAATCAAACTCAATGCAAACAACGATTCTATGGGGAATATCGAGGAGCCTCGCTGAAAGTTCCACTTTATGAATGTGGAGTACGACGAATTTACCAGGTTTGTTAAACGGCTTTAATTGGATATGTACCATGTCAATCATGCGTGTCTCTCAAACTACCGGTTTATTTTTTAAGATTCAGAAAAATTAAAAAAATTGTAATTCAGAATAGTTTAATTTTTAGTGTTTTTTACAGAATGTACAGCAGGCTTCCTCAAAATTAGAGAAAGCTTTAACTGGCCACTTTGTCACAATAAGATGAAGTTATTTATAATTTTAGCATCATCCTCGTGGTACGATGTACGTTCTGGTTGTGATAGCTAGTTTCCATCCAAGATTTTTAACAAAATTCGACAGAGCTTACAGAGTAAAATGCTTCTATTCTCAGAATGACAAAGATGTCGAATCAGGACTTGAAATCGGGTAAACAGAGATATATTTAATATTTTTTTAAGATAAAGTATTTTTGTAGTTCACGGTAACATCAAGTTTAGTTCTTTGTACGCTGAAACAGTTGATGAATCCGTAATTACACAACCCGACTGTAAATATTCTCTTCGAGAAGGGTCAGTTGATGGGCCGTTATTGCATTACGCCAAAATTGGAGAAAAGATTGTTCATCGATGGGAATGTGACAACCGTAAAGTCTATTCATTTACAAAATCAGCTTTTTGAACAGCGCATTTTTTACTAAAAAATTTTCACTAAGTAGCGGCCAGTTTTTTAAGTTAGCACCTAGGTTCTGTAAAACAAATTTACTTTTAGGATATTACGGAATGCTCGTGAAAAATTGCTATGTAAACGGCGGTGACGATGTGTCGGTTCAGATTATAGATGCTCAGGGGTAAGACAAGCGATAAAAGACTTACAGACAAGAAGTCATTGTAAAGAAAGACTAATCTTTCTGAGTATTGCAAAGCAGTGACTAAACATTGGAGAACGAAGATCACCCGAAGTATTGTTGCGGGGTGTAAAACGCGAAAGAAATAGTCACCACCATCATTTCAGGTGTCCTTTGGTTTCACCGTTAATCCAAGAAGAATTGATTTACGATAGCCGGCAAACACTAGCACACGTCACTGCTTCAGCATATAAGTTCCCTGATAAACCACACTTATATTTTCAATGTCAAATTCAAGTCTGCAACAAGCACGACGATGACTGTAAAAAACTGACTGTAATGTTTTTAAGTCTTCTACATTTTGGGGTACTGACTTTAAAAAAAAATTTTGAAAAGGGTTTTGATAAGTGAGGTGGGGATGATGAAGAAGCGGACTGAAAGATTTTCTAGATTGAAAGTGGAAAAGGAACGACTGAGAATGCCCAAAGAGATTACTAAAATGGAGAGAGACAGAAAACTTTTGTTTGAAAAGGAAAACATGATTTGAAAACACTAAGATGAATTGGTTTAGAACACTTAAAAAGTTTATACTTGATCTTTTGAAGATAAAGAATTTTAAGCCCCCGCAATGCAGCCGTGAAGGCCATTCTGGCGGCAGGTTGCTGGAACTGAAGCATACCGATGTTTATAGCAATGATGATGACCAGCACAAGAGCATCTCTGATGGAAACGGCGGCGATAGCTATTATGACAACAACAAAAATAATAGCATCAGAAACGAGCATAATCATCAACCAAACGATCTGGCAGGTACCTCGCTTATAAAAGTTTTCTTACTTATCCTTTGGCTGAAATAGAGCCTCAGTGGAAAGAGACCCAGAAGTAAGAATTACTTTAGGTGTGGTGGTGGTGCAAAAATTACTAAGCTCAATACCAAAAGTCAAAAAAAATGCTTTGTAAAATACTTTTTAAATTTGACTTAGTAGTTTACTGTGAAGAATTATGTAATTTTTAATCTTCTGCTTGTATTATAAATTTTTAGAAGGAGCTACAGAACTTATTGAACTACCAGTAGTAATGCATAGCTCTTTGGACAGCAATGCCACTGTAAGTTAATTGTTTTAAGCCCTGAACAGATTAACTTTTTTGGGACTTGACTGGCACTTGAACTAAGCTGAAAATGGCATTTAAGCTCCGAAGCAAACTGCAGAACATTAGCTTAACCAACACGCTTTGAAAAACGATAGCAGTTTTTTTAAAAAATTGGATAATGTAGTTTACAGAAGCATCGTTTACAGAAGCAATAAAAGTTCTTCAGGAAGCAGAAATATTATTTGGGGAGGAAATCTCAGTAAAGGAAGCTAATAGAGCAGATACAGTTACAGGCTTTGATAAAGAAGCTCATACCTTGGTAATGGTGAAATCATAAATCTTAAATCCTATTTCATCTAGTTTTAATAAAACAGAAGCAAATTTCTTTGAACCATAATGACAGATTAGTGGATTATAGATCCGAAGCAAACGATTCAGTGAAGGAAACGAACATACGTTACCAGAAAAACCATCAAAATTTCCGAGGGAAACTTATGAAGTTGTTGCCAAAACACTATTCCTTAGTGGCAGTGAGCTTCACTATGAAGGTATACAGTATGCTATAACTATTGTTTAACTTTACAGCAAAATAAAAATACTTTTCAAAATGTGCCATTACAACCTGTTCTAACCTTTTTTACAGAGCCGAAACTGCCAATCTTGAAACGGCTCATTGAAATAAATTACTGATTACTACAATAATGAACTTGTTTTTGCTTCAGAAGTGCAAAAAGACAGCAGAGACCTGACGGTTTTTAAGATGTCCACTTGCTCCAATGAGATTTGGCTTCGAAAGTCTCAGTATCTAACAGTAGCCGCGCTATCTGGGATTGTTTTTGCAGTACTGCTGACTGCTGTAATCAGCAGTATTTCCAGGTGTAGAAAGTAATTTGACTTCTAAATAAAGAAACTTTATTTTTAAGAAGCCCTTTTTCTACGATTTTCAAATTAAATTTTTGAACTCCAAATATTGAGGAGGTTGCGGTGTAACGTTCACGAAAGGCATCTATCAGCATCTTCCCCCACAATTATGATTGAAAACTCGGTTCAAACAAAGTCAACAGAAAAACGATTCTAGGTGTTTTTGAAAAACGTTCTCCCACCTACTGTACAATTGCCCATCGTCTTTCGCTTTTCTCAAAGAGCTAATAAACACTTCATCTGTTAGACGAGTAAAGATAAAAATCATTATTTTTCTTATAAAGTTCTTCTCCTGATAACCTTTAATTACGTGGGTTTCCATTTATTAGATTTTTTGATCTTATGCATTGCTTTGTAAAATCAAAGAAATTTGGTGTAAAGAGCATCTAAAAACAGTTTTAGATAAATAATTCCCACTCAAGGATTTCTGAATTTCCAAAATTTACACAGTTTTGTCATGAGAGCACAAAACAAGGCAGCGTGTTATCGGAACGAAAATAAACTTCAAATAAGCGGAACGGGAAAACCATGTTTATATAATCGCTTACATGAGAAACGAATATTTTCGTCCATACAATATGTAGATTCTATCGACAAACAGTACATAAGAACAGCTGTTGAAAAATTCAGAGCTATTACGGGGACAATATAACACTGCAGTGTTTCCTGCTTCTTCAGTCTCGAAACACTACGAACAATTAAGACTTCGGAACTAAGAAGTGAAGCCGCAGTACACCGCGGAAATAAAACGCTTCATCCACTGAATGACCGGTTCCAAAGCCACACTCAAATGCACACAATACTCTATTCTGCATTCAAAAATTGAAACCTGATAAGGAAAAAAAAGCCTGAAAAGTTCTATACAAGAATGAACAACCTTTTAATCGGCATTCTGAGCACAAATTAATTAACTGTTAAAAACTTATCATCTTTTGTAAAAGGACACTTATTTTTTTTTTTCTAGAATTATTTTGATCTATGATAAAAAATAAGTTGATGAAAGACATCGTGAGAGTCTGAGGAAACATTTAATAACACCTATTGTAAAGTCATGGAGGTTTGGTTAACCAACAAGTATATAGTATAAGAAGGAAAAAAGATGATCTGCCTCAATCTGTGTGAATTGATGGAAACTTTAAAGACAACCAAAACCTATCAGAAATATTAAAGTGATTTTTCAAGGAGCTGAACTAAATCAGTGACTGGAAGGCCAAAAGGTTAGAAATTACGAAGTTTGCATTGAAATGGTCATCAGTACAGCTATGGTAAATACAACTGTTGCGTAAGTTACGCAAAGCGCTGTCAGCAACCTCTCCTGCAATTACAACCTTTCATTAACCATAACATTTCCTTGATTTACACTCTCTTAAATTGATATAACAAATTGAACATGACAGAAGCTATTGTATAATACAGTAAAAACATTTATAGGACTAGTTGAAAGAGAAAAAAGAACTTCTTACGAAAATTTTTGTGATTGATTTTTAAATCAAGGTTGCGTCAAAAACGAGTATTATATGTGCCTATTCTTAAACGTTTTCCAAGAAATTGTTTGACAAAAGTTCCTTAATCAGTTGTTTAAAAAACTGTTTTCCAACGAGAAACGAAAAATTGAAATGTTTTGCTCGGCTTTTATCTTTACTTTTTCCACTTTGATCTTTAAAGCCCATGAAAGTACAGAGTTCTTGGTAATTTATTAGAATTAGAAAAACCAAATTTGTGAAGACTATATTGTTAATAACAGATAAACATCACTTCTTTCTGCCCCAACAAGAAAAGAAGTAATTAAAGACATGATATTAACTCTTTCACAACGCTCGCGTCGTTTTAGAGTTTTTGGCACTATATTTTTGGCACAATTTTCAACACAGCCAAAAATAAAAGGGATTTCTTTAAAAGCATGGAAGGGCTGCAAGCAGAGACCGCTTATACCACTCTTCGAACGGAACCATCCAAGTTACTTCTAGTAGCTTCTGTACTGCTCCCCTATTTTCACGCTGCTACGGTTACATTACCCCCCAAAAACTGTCAACATCTGAACGATGTACTCTTTGAAACTGAAAACCTTAAAAATTGAAGACCTGAGACCCTTCCAAAAATAATTTTCATAATTTTTGGCATAACATAAACGTCTACAACGTTTCTTTGTCTCACAGGGGTTTTGGGAGTCAATCAAAGAGACTTCACTTGAATCTAACATTTTTTGCTTCCAGCGGTATAGTTGATCCTAAGCAAAATTACACCTTACTGAAGTTTTTTGCTGCTAAATCACGAACGCTATGAGGTATACATTATTATGATTAGCGATTTGTAAGGAGGCCCTTAGTAATGAGCGGAAAGCTGAGACAAATTTCTATTGGAGACCTACCGTGGTTTTTAACTGTTTTCCTCGTGACCTTCCTTCAGTCCCCGCAGTGCCACTTCTATCGCGAACATCGCCTAACTCATGTTGCTCCACCGTTGAACGTCGCCTTCTTTTAGAATAAATCTGACGAGATTGAAGTTTTACTACATTACAATTCGACTAATCCACTACTTCCACATATTTGAAAAAAAAGACTGTCAACTAACTTTAAATACTGCAGGGACTGATCCACTTGAAGAATGATAAGCATTTATTTTAGATGCCTCTGTGAAAGCAATTTTTTTTCTTCACAATTTTTCGCCTATTTTAAAAGAATAGCTCAAAAAAAATCAACTAGAAGATGGTGTACAAAAACGTCTTTTGATAAAAACCCGAAAATTTTAGCAAAGCAGCTTAGTTAATCCAACCTCTGAAACGACGAAAAATATTGTAGATATGAGAAAATAAAGTCCAAGAAGCAGAACAGCGTAGAGACGACTAGACCAGACACGGAATATTAATGTTGCTAACGTTATCGCAATGTCTGAAGATAATTCAAATTTTGAGAAAAACTCACACGCGAAATTTTTTTCAAAAAAGTAAAAATTTGTTAAAAATTGTTACGTATTGAATTAAAGTTTGCAGATTGAAAAAAGTGAAACAAACTTGCAAGGACAAATGAAGTCAGCCCAACTTTGTGGTGAATGAAATTAAACACCTTTCTATACTTGTGGCCAGGATGACACCGACACAGTGCCCCAATTGGCTGAGTAAAAGCCATTATTACTGCTGTCATACCAGTCTAAAATGCAGGTTGAAATTAAGCAAGAATAATTACAAATAAGTTGAGAAACTTTTGAAACCATATTATTTACAACAGTTTTTCTAAATTTTGACTTTAATTCGTTGAATAGGGTGAAAAACGTAAACTGTTTAGCCAACCAAAGAATGCATTGAGGGACGAGCAGTTAGATTTTCAAAAAATGATTTCTTTAGAGTTGGTCCTGTCCATCTCAAGTCCACTGCAATGAATATAAAAGCAGTTGCCAGTAACATCAATAGCACGCTAAACACGTTTAGAATACGATGAAGCTGAAATTTTGCTGAGTTAAAGCCTGAGAATGACAACTGTTAAGCAGCATTCTTCCGTAGCTATTATTTAAAAGATACATTTTAGCTGATTTCTAACAAAATTACGAGATATTCAGAGCATTTAAAATGAGTACAAAAAAGATTTCACTGACTTGAAACCAAACTGGTGTACCAAAAGGTTTTTTGCTTTTGTAGAACCCTTTCAAGTATCTAGCCGCAGGTATACTGATCGATATAAAGCATATCCAAGCAAATACCATAAGACATCCTAAATTGTTTACCTTAGAAATGACATATCTAAAATATCTTGTTTACTTAAGAAGAACTCAGAGATATACCTATGTTTTTTGTTTGTTTTTTTAAAATGTTTTTTAAAATGACAACAGAGAAAGAACGATAAATAAGGTCAAAAAATACCATGTAGCAAAATCAGCTTTCTTTTTGTAGCTTTTGACATCCTTATAGTTCTTCTCGGTTTAGTGACCAATTTTGCGTTTGCATCAGAGATGTTGACAGTTTCATTGAACATTACAGGAAAATCTTCTGAAGTCGGATCAAGCGAATGTATTTCGATAACTGTAAAACTGCTATTATACTCACAGAGACGTTTAAATGATGACACAAATTACAACATACATTTTGGATCTTTTGCGACAGTATGCATCAGAAAAATCGTCGCATTTTTTGATAGGTCAAAATTGAAGTCGTTTACTCCAACAGGATGAATACGTTGGCGAAATTTACAGTACAGATAACCGTTATCACGTGTGGCATTTAGCAGTATCAAATTATTTTTTTCAAACTCCTGCAGTATTGTGAGGATATATGCATCATGTAAAATCAATAAAGTTTAGTTCATACCTTACGTAATTGTATATATTGTTATCTAGAAAAACCTAATTTACCGTGTTTTCATGAAATAATTGAACATTATCCTTGCCACTGTTGTAAGAAAAATGAATTTGTGGTTTCTCACCGAAACTACAGTGTGTTACCGGTTCGTCGCCCTTAAATTGTAAACTTCAAATTTAAGTTTTTTCAAATTAAAAATTATATCACAGTTAAATTAGAATTTTCCTTACTGTTTATAAACCATTTTTGATTTTTGGATTCTAGCTTATCCTCAGTTCGTTTACAGAACCACTAACTACAGAATGCAATTATAGCTCTAAAGAGACGCTCAACAGAACGAAAGTTACCATTATTTCATCGTCTGAAAAAGCGACTGCCAGCACATTTGTCATTGGGTCCGAAGACTTGTCGTAAGCTTCAATGGTAACCCAACCATCAATACCAGGAGCATAGCTAAATATTTGTCTGCAGATGTTTTGTGCTTGACAGTTTAATGGCATAGAAAGACAAAACTGAAAAAGTTGTAAAATTACTTCAAACATTTAACAAAATATATAACAAAAAAAGAAAGGCATGAATACTGCGGAGCAGATAATTACGTTTCACAAATCGATGTTTTGCTAACTTTTTTAAACTCATAATAAGAAAAATCTTCAAAAATAGAGAAAAAAAATGATGCAATAAGTTTCTTGAATTGAAGCAGACTTTTTTTTGCAGAGTATTATATGAGAGATTGTTCAAACTGTAAAACTGAAAATTTTTTAAATTTATCATTTGAATCTTTGTATACAAAACTTATGAAAACTGTCAACCAGCATTTCAAACCGAACGATTTTAGTTTTTTTTAATAATACGATCATCTTGAGTGTTACAAATGTATACATACCTTTTCAAGATCGCAAGTATTAGTATTAAAAACTGCATCTGCAACGACCGATAAACTTAATATAACCAAAAAAAGAATATATGGTCCATTGTTTAAGTGCATCATGGTAATTGACAATTTTTAATCACTGAAAAGAAGATTAAAAAAAAAAAAAAAAAAGAAGAAGAAGAAAAGAACCAAAAAAGTGAGTTAAAATTTTATTTTCTGCGATAGGGTCAACAATAACCAAGCAAAAAAGTTTGTCGAGACGATGTGTCGATAGTCACTTCTGTCTCAGTACCATTCTTTCATTTATTTTGTTGTACGCGTCAAAAATTACATGAACACCACCAACAGAAATAAAACTTGTCTTTAATTGGTAGTGTAATTGCTCAAAACAGCACTATTTAATATCAGTATATTAAAATAGTTTAGGTCAAAAAAAAGGAGACAACAACAACGTTTTACCATCAAATAATTTTGAAATAAAAAAATTGTGGAAAAATATTTTTTTGCACTAAGATTCTACAACAGCAATTGACTTAAAAAATAAGTGTAGTGAATAAATGACGTGTTTACAAAACAAAATTTTTTCTTTTTTTTTTTTTCTTTTTTTCAAAGCAAATTTGGTGCAGACAGTATGGGTTTTTTAAAAGAACATTGAAGAAAACAATCAAATTTGTTCCTCGACTGAAAAAATAATTCAACAGAAATATATTGCGGATGCAGAAAAACGGTTTAGTAATTACGAGCAACCGGAGGACAGAAAAATCAATGATCGATAAAACACTCGGGTCTCTAAAATTCCGGAGAAACCGTTGTTACCGTTGTCGTTGTTTCAAAATGGCAAACGCACTGTTCCAAACACGTTTGCTAAACGCATTTGTAAAATTTCGTAGTAGTTCTTTCTGTGTCCGTCATCGCCTATTCATCATCTTCTCCCTTCCCTCACCGCCGATTCACAAATCAGGACTTCTTCTTAGTGATTGTTCTTTCTCAGGTGAACAGCATCATCTTAAAGCTTTAAGGAGCGCAGTAAGAAGTGAGGTTCAACTTTTCTGAAGAGCAGCGAAAGCTTAAAAAATTTTTTTCTTACAAAATTTAATATTGTTAGAAAACAAAAGCAAATTCAAATGACTCATGCGTTTCAAAATTCTAGTTTTCGTTTTTACGGAAGCTGAAGTTTCTAAAGTACTTTGTTTTTGACATGAGGAATGAACTTACAATATGATATACCAGAGAATTGTTCAACTAAAGTTCTTTAGCAATTTCGTTTCACGGAATGGAATAACAGCAAAGTCTTCGACCGCAGTATGTGAATTCCTACCGTTTGTATAAAATTTAAGAGAAAAAATTGTCACGTACAGTTCTTTAATGTTTAAGAGTTTATTTAATGACAACTTTTTATGCAGCAAACTTTAATTTTGTTGATCGCCTCTTATCTCTAGTCCAATGGACAGTTCTTCAGTAAACGGCAGATCAATACAAGGCATATGAAAAAGTGGTCCATCAACTGACAAATCTTCCACTTTGAAATATTACAAAGATATTTTTGATCTGTGCATAGATAACTTTTTAAGCCTTGAACGTTTATATTTTTAGAATTATATAAGACGTTTAAAAAGCTAAAAACAGCTACAAAGACAAAAAAAAAACACAAACTGATTTTTGGTATGATTAAAATGTTTGCTGATTCAAGCAGTTAACAAGTCACTATGCGAGTCTATCGATTTTGAAGAACCTTTAGTGGTCGTTTTTATAAATACAAGTTGTTTGTTGTAAAATTCCTAATCAAAAAAAAAAAAAAAAAAAAAAAAAAAAAAAAAA